GGTCGAATCTCGGATGAAAGCATCACAGCTTCGTCTTTTTGGCACAACTTGGCTGACTTCGCCCCACCCAGGGCCAGGCTTAATAATCAAGGTAAGCATTTGTATTTCAGACTAATCACGTTATACTTCGTACAGCCATTTAAAAGAAAATACAGTTGTTTCACCCTAAAGGGGCCGGGACGGAATCCGCCCCCACCCCACCTCAACGTTTCCGCGATAGCCTTGAAAAAAAAAGTTCGCGACCCGAGTTGTTGTGACTTTTTAGCCTCGAGCCTTGCGCATCTTTTGATTACCAAAATCATAACAAATTTTAGTGATACTCAAAACTGAATTTCCCCATTCGTGCATATATGAATAATTAATTAGCCAGAATTCCAAAACCCTTTAACCTTTAGTCATGAAATTTCTTGTATATGTTCATGATAATTTGTTCTATGCATGTACAGAGTTTCAAAATGTTTTGCCACTTGATGGCCGACATCTAAGGGGGGACGGAATCCCCCCCCCCCCCCCGGCTGAGAGATGGTCAAAATAACCTGCACCCGATTTCATCAAATTCTTCGTATAAACGTACGATGTATCACAGCGCTGCGATGCGTCGTATTTCTACGATGCGTCACAGCTGCGATGCGTCCGGCGATCCATTTCACAAAACACGTCGTTAGTGCGACGCGTCGTAGGTGTATTTATAGCACAACTCGGTGATCATTTTATGTCTTTAGTCAGCGAACAGTAAATAGTCATCTGATATTCAACAATCAGTTGTCGGATCTCCGCCCAAAATTTGTTAAAACGTCAAATAAAATGGCGGCCGTGTGATGCAATTTTAAAGGAAAACAAGCTGTATGCAATTTTAAAGGAAAACAAGCTCTCAGTGGAGGGTATAGCTACTTTGAAGTTTTAACTGCAATATTCCAGGTTATTTCATAATTATTCAATGAATTTTCTATTTACAACTTTACACACACTGCCTCGGTATTATAATCTCGTTTATGTGATGATTAAGGTATAAAACTGGCTAAGAAAAGGACACTTCTTGTTTGGCAATGACCACTTGAATACAACGCATTCAACACATCGCAAGTTTCGTTTAATGGATGATACGACGCATCGCGAGTTGCGACGTGTTACACGTCGTAACTTGAGTTGCGACGCGTCGCATCGTTTAGTTAAATCGGGTACTGACCCTTTTAACTAAGGGATATTATTCGGCCTGAAATTCACGAAATTATTATGTTGTTAGGGTTGTTTCTTTATACTCTTTCAAATGTCTTAAAAGGAAACTAACCTAATGTCTTACCATTCCTGAGAAAAGACGGATGAACAGTTGCTAACATCGCACGCGGTGGACTTTTGTGGCATACATATACGTATTTCCCGCCGTTTCCATTCAATGTACATTACACGTCGTGTGTGCGTCACATAATACACACAACACGAACACAAATGTTGTTTCTTGCACGTCCGCATTATGCAATAACTGTGCCAGGCCGGATTCACAACTAGCACTCAACAGCTCGATTTTTGAGACTCACAATTTTGACACCCAAAATTAGTTGTCGCATGGTTCACGCAAGAATCACACAAAAACAACCAGATTTAAATGATGGTTGGGAAGACGTTTATGTCCTACTATTAAATGTTTTTCCAAATTAATATAATTTCATTAAAATGCGTTTTGTAGCCCAATTGGGCTCATTCGCAATGTCCCTTCTGTTGCACAGTTTACTGCTCGATTTGTGGTTGATTCGGAGTAACCTAATCCATTACGACTGTGCACTACAAGTAATGTGCGGACGTCAATAGTCGGAGGATGTCGGCAAAGCATCATCAGGAAATTATATGGGTCACGGGTCCCTGCTGCGCATTGTGATGCGTGCAGCTATCGTACGCGTAACCAGCAATGCGACCAACCACCAAAGCGGTCCTGAAGAGCCGACGATACCATGGGCGTCGCTGCAGGGGGGGGGGGGTGTCACAACCCCCATTAGATATTTTTTGTAGGTAAAATCATGGTGCTGTCGGCAAAAAAAATGAAGAATACAGAAAGAAGGAAAAGAAAGAGAGAAGAAAAATATATTGAGAATGTAAATATAATTAGACACTTTTGCTCAAAACCCTGCGGAGCTAAAATCCGGTTCTGAATTCCTTGGCAAAAAAATTGTACACTCTGTCAAGACTGTCATGTCGGCACGAGCTGCCGCGCGAGGTCGCTTCATATATACGGCGGTTGTCAGCTACAGCTAAGCAAAACACAAGCACGAGCTCGCTCGCCGGCACTTACGAATTCTGCTGATTCTTAGTGACGACTTAGACCAGGGGCGGCGGAACTGAGCAAGTGCCCCTTTTTGGTGATGCCCCCCCAGTTTCAAACCCATTCCGCCGCCGCTGACTCAGAAGGGACGGAATGGTCCTTGCAGGTTGGGCGCACCCAGCGAAAGAGCGTGTCTCATTTATTTTCTTCGCTCGTACCCCCCGCCATGCAAACAGGACGCTGGGATACTCTGATGAATTCACGCTCTGATTGGTTGGATTTTGCGTAACCTGTGACCTGCGCGTCATCACGGTCATGACTCTGCAAGGTTTGAAACGGGCGTAAAGACTGATTCATTACTTTTTTATTCCAGTTTAGGCAAAACAACAAATAAGTCGGTCTCTGGTCAGCGCGCGCGTCGATTTTAAGCATGCGCGTCGATCTTTTTTTTTTCCAAAATGATCTGCGGTAGCTCCAACAGCGCCCTCTATTTCCGCACCTCCTCATTTTTTTTTTAAAAAGAGCACCAAGGAATGGGAAATTGTACCAAGACAAATGATCGAAAGCACCAAGGCAAATTATGGAGGACACCAATGTACATGAGGACACCAAAAGCAAAATAGTACACCACCTTGTCTGTACAATCCAAGCTTGAAGAAAACAACAACAACAACAACAAAAGCCGCGTGTACTGGCCGCGTCAATTCCGGAACTTTGGTCTGACCAGAAACCAAACATTTTTTTTGGGGGGGGGGGGCCTTAGAGAGTTTTTTTTTTTTTTCCGTTGAAAAGCATGTAGAAAATGAAAAGAATGTAGGAAATTCTGTAAAACTTATCTTTGATAAAAATTTACAATTCCCCGCACTTGCTCAGGCTCCGTTTGAATCACGAACGGTCGGATTGCTTTATGCGACGCTCAAAATGTTGTCCACATGGTCCGCAATGAATTAGAAATTACATCCGGTATGGAACTTTTTTTCTAGATTTTTTGCTAGAGGGGGGCAAAACATACTTGTCCCAAAAAGTTCTTGTATTTCTCAACAAATTATCGATTAATCAGTTTTAGAGGGGGGCGGGCAGGGACATTTTGCTCCGCCAACTCATTAAATTTACACCACTATGACTTCGCACCCCTTTTTCTGGTTTTTTCCTCTTTGTTTTCTTCTTCATTTTTTTTTTTTTTTTTTTTTGCTTTTCCGGGGGGGGGGGCGGTGCAAGCGCCCCCTTGCCCCCCCCCCCCCACTCGCGACTCCCATGGGAACGTGTGCATTTCCATGGGACATGTGCGAAGTTTTCGGATGTCATTTGCGCACTTAGGTCTTGAACAGCTACAGCCAGATTCTTTATACATAGGTCATAGGCTACTTCCTTCACAAGATTCTGTGAAGCTCATCAGAGTATCCCAGCGTCCTGTTTGCAGGGCGGGGAGTACGAGCGAAATTTCTGTCCAAGACAACAGCGCGCACACATTACTGGCAAGCAAACCCATTGTAACTGTCCACAACGCTGTCTGAACTAGGTGCGGCTGCATGGCCCTGTCTGCGACGTATTCAATACCACAGAACTCAGACTAGCTAGAGCTACAGCGCAATATCATATTACAAGCGCCCAACTAGTCTGGTTCCCAGACCAAAAGATTCTGACTATTCCGGATGAATATTAGGTCCGGTAGCCTCCGGTAGTCCATTGTATTACAATTTACATCACGTGACTGAAACGGGAGGACTTCCTCCTTTTTTTTTCCGAAAACGTCCAAAGTTTGCCGAATTCATTTCGTCGACAATCGGATAGCGCCCGAGTATTTCCGAGTACAATATATGTTTAATTAACTGCTAATTGCTTATTGAACACTGTTAAATGAGTTGATTATTAAAATCCATTTCTTTCATTGAAAACTTGAAATTCAATGACGATTGTGTGCATCAAGTATACTCGGATCGTACGGGCGAACTTTGCAGCGTCATGTACTGTTTTGAATTTGACGACCGTATGTTTATACGAAGCAATTGATTTATTTAAATATTTGATCAGAACATTAAAAGCTATTAGTGATTAGGTGAGGTCGGAAACGAAGCCGAGCTTTGAAAAAAGGCCGTCAATATCGTCATGTTTACTTTTAGCCACAGAGGCTGCCTGAGATACAATTTTAGACGTGAGCGTCGGGAATAATTGTCAGGTCTGGGAATCAGACTAGCACCCAACGGCCGTGCGCTGACCCACACACAGTCATCACGCCACACTGAGACACAGCAAAAGTACCGTTGAGATGAACTTTTTTTACTTACGTCATGTTCATAAATTTGATTTAAAAAACGGTCATGTTGAACTGAGGGATTTTCTTTAAACGACTACGGAGTAAAGATTATACCTTCTATGATCTTTTTTGGAAATAAAACCGAAATGTTAAAAAAGGGTTTCTACAAAAAAAAAATCATTTTTAAGCAGGAATTATAGGGGCGTCATGAAGTTTGTACGATACACTGTAAGTGCATGGACCACGTGTCGGCGTACAGGACTCACTGCATGACAGAACGAAGCAAATACAGACTCTTTTATAGAATTTGCCTTTCAATACTAGACTAATATGCACATTTGGCATGGAACAAGTGCTTGAATTATGACTGTAGAAAAAAGAAAGCGTACAAATAACGACTTTAAAAGGGATATTTCTATTATCACATTTTTTTACGAATGGAAGAGGCACACAGACCATCGTTCGTGATCTTCTCTTTTTGTTGTTGTACAGGAAACGGTGCAGGGTGGTGTTACCATGCCCGTACTGATAATAGTCCATGGATACAGGTTGACTTCGTTGGCACAGTCACCATCTATGGTCTGATCACCCAGGGGCACGGAGATTACGACGTATGGGTGACGGAGTATCAAGTGACGTACAGTAACGACGGTCAGTCCTGGAATAAGGTGACTGTTGCAGACGGCACACCAGCAAAGGTATATAGTCAGGTTGCATACAGTTATAATCGTGACCGACTGGTCCAAAGCACCAAGCCTGGCACAAAGATTCTTATAGCCCTAGAGGAAATATTTAGAAGGGGTGACACCTGAAAATCTTTTGGGAAGAGTGCCTAATTTGCATATTAAAGCCTAATTAACCCTTGTCGTGTAATATACTTAGATGTATAGATGTATATTTTTTTTCTCCATTTTTGAAAAGTATATAATTGGGATTGTACTTATATATCCTTACTTAAAAAAACAACATTTTTTTTTAAAGAATATCGGAGACTTGAAGATTATGAAGACATAATAAAGATCCAAAACGGCTACCATTAGGGGCCTATACCCTAAAGTTGCGCGCATAAGTTCCCTCAGATATTATCAAGTAGTCTCGCCAAACCTCAGTATTGATGAGCTTCAAATTCACAAAGTTACTTAATGACACAGTTATCCTAACAAAATAAAATGGGAAATCATGTGAACAATTATATCATCTTGATATTTATCCCACAAAAACAAAAAGGGCGGAATGAGGTGTCCGTAAATTGGGCTAAAAATTACGCCAAGCTTGACGTGTTCTGGACTTAATATCACAATTTTATTATTGTCCACATGATTTTCCATGAAGTTTTAATCGAGTAATTGTGCCAGTAAGCAACTTGATGAATTTTAAGCTCATCAATACTATTTGGCAAGACTACTTGATGACATCTGGAGACAAGGTTAATGAGCACAACTTTAGAGTACGATAGTAGCCATTTTGGATCGTTACTATGTCCTCATAATTATCCAGTCAGTCTTAAATGCTTTCTTAAATGTTATTAAGGTAAGGATGTGTAAGTGGAATCCAAACATATACTTTTCAAAAAATAGAATTAAAAATGTACTCAAATATGGGAATAAATATATAAAACGTTAGGGATTAACGATTTATGCAAATTAGGCACCCTTCCCAAAAGAATTGCAGGTGTCACCCCTTCTAAATATCTTCTCTAAGGCTATAACAGCATATCTGCCAAGTTTGGTGCTCTGGACCAGTCGGTCACGATCTTGTCAAAAATTGGGTCTGAGCCTTCTGACTAAAAGAAATGTTTCAAGGTATCAAAATGTCAAAAGTCGTTTTGCTGACTTTTGTTACGACATAATCAGTAGCGTTTTCAGCTTTTGATGTGAGGGGGCAACCGCACATCCACAGCGAAATGTAGACATGTTCTTTTTTTCTTCCGACACTTGGCCTCCGTAAAATCAAAAAGCGGGGGGGGGGGATGACCATTTTCCAAGTGGGGGCGCTCTTCAAAACCATTATTATGCATACTGGAAAATAAATTATGGGCCAATTTTCACGGCGCATTGTAATGCCTTTTTGAGCTGGTTTACTTGGGGGGGGGGGGGGGGCTGATGTCAGAACTCTCTAAACGTTAAATAATTAAAGGTTTGCGGAAACACCATGTGCGAATGATTTCTCAACTAAGAGAATGGTTCTGTAAGCAACCAGAGGTATAAACTCGACGTTCCGGTCAGTATGCTCTGATCGTCTTCTTGAGAAATTATTCGCACATTGTGTTTCCGAAAACCTTTAATTATTTAGTATCTCCACCATGCAAAGCCTCAAATCTTACTTCTCTAAACATTATTGGAAATACTTACTGAGCAAAATATCTTTCAAAAAATCATCCAGGGGGAGGGGGGGGGGCACGGTGCCCCTGCCCCTGCCCCCCCCCCCCTCTGGATATGCCACTGGGCATAATGAATCCATTCGAATGTCTACAATCTGAACACACCAATCTTCTTTTTGAACAGTTCCCTGGTAACAAGGACAGGAACACCCTGGTAACTACTCGCCTGCCGTTTGCCTTGCGCACCAGAATCCTGCGCATTTACCCAACTAAATCGTATCAGGTGTGCTGCATGAGGTTTGAAGTGATTGGCTGCTATTAGTCAGACTCGTTACATTGCCGACGAGTGAGTGAAATGATTTCAACGTCAAAAGGTCGCTCTGTCGTAGAACAAAACGAAAATATTCATGCTTGTAAATACCGGCTCTACTCACGAATTATTCGGTAGTTTGAATGAAATTTGATGAATATTATAAGTTCTTTTTATTTTATTTTTTTTTATTTGTGAATCTATATTACTGATGCATTTAAAATGCACACTGGTTAATCGTTAGTCAGGGTGGACGTATAGATAATTAGCTGATTGATAAGACTTAGAGTGAAAACAAACCCTGGGAGTACACTTTAAAAAGAAAGGCAAATCTCCAGGGAAATCTGGACAGTCGTAGAGCAAGGTTGCTTTTTCCTGTGTACTTTAAGGACTTAATAACTTTAGAACATGACAACAAATAAGAGAAATGTTATGTACGAATTTAAGAAAGAAATTTCCTCATCATAAAAAAAGAAGAATTATTATGTGTTAGTTGCTAGAAGGAACGGTGTGTCTATAAAGAATCTGTATGGGAGAAATTATTATCCCGAAATTGTGTAATTCGGAAAAAAAACATTTGAGAAACACTCGCTCTATTTATTTCATAATAAGCCCAAATCTTGGGGCGGATTCAGCTTCTGATTACTGTTATGATACCAGTAAAATGGCCCCCCCCCAAAAAAAAAAGGAATTCTAAAGTTGCTATATTTTTAAATAGTGTTAAAGAATGGCGGGGAAATCATCGTGGATTTCACAATTTTCAGGGCGGGGGGGCATGCCCCAGACCCCCAGCAAGTCACAGCCTCTTCACATCCCCCCTTAACATTACCCCCCCCCCATGTTTTCTGAATGGTAAATTCGCCCGTGAAGCTGTTTGTATTAGCACATGTATAAGTCAAAAGACCTTTATCAAGGGTACGCCATCTTGAAAATCAAAGCGTGGCATAACGCAAACAAACATGGCGGCGTAACTATTGTGTGCGGTGAACGATTTACTTTCGCAATATTACACCAGATTGACATTCTTATAAATGGATGGATAGCTCATTACCCCGCAACATCAATCAGCATAGGTAGGTCACGTCTTATTGTATTTTGAAGAAGGATCTGAATATATAAAGCCCAAAACAAGTGGCCAGACTGAAGTTTCCATGTCTGAGTATAATATGCGTAGGCCTATACAGGATGAGTAAAAACAAACACGAAACCCAAATGTCGGGACCATTGTTTTGATGAAGTTCTGCATGTAGCACTTTCAAAATCTGGAATATGAAAGCTGAATTCATGAGCTTTTTTTAGTACATAAATCATTCGATCACAAAAAGGTAAGTGTTCTTTCAGCAAAACGAAAAAAAAATCACATAGGGATGTATGTGAATTGTTTTCGGTTTGCTGAAAAAAAACCGCACACTTTTTGTGTGATCCGTTGACAGAACTTTAAAACGGTGGTTGTGTTTAAAATTCCTTAACTTGAAAAGCAAATAAATGATTTGAATAATTCTTGTACTAAAAGAAAGCTCATAAATTGAGCTTTTATATCCTAGATTTTGAAAGTGCTATGCAGAACTTCAATAGAACAATGGTCTCGACATTTGGGTTTTTTTTCTCACCAAGTATAGCACCGGCGTCAGATCAGAGAAACGAAAAATCTTTCTTTTTTCACTTTTCTATACGTTTTTCATGAAGCAATTTGTGAAAAGGGTATTTTTGGAAGACCAGCTTGAATATGGATTTTTTTAATCAAAATTCAATACTCTTAAAGGGAGACATTTGGCCGGTTGCGCTCTTTTGGGCTCTCAAGACGCACTTCTCACGAAATAGTAATCATTGGAAAGATTAATGACAAGTGGAATATAAACGTGCACACAACTATAATGACGGTTTCATTTGTGTGTTGCAATTCAATGGATTTTTTTTTCAGTGCTAGAAATACTTAAAGGAGAGGCAAAAATTGCTGACGCGCTAAAAAGGAAACAAACGGGTGTTTTAAAAATTTTCTCTGGAAATGTCAGACATTTTGCACCGGACTTTCTGGGAACCAGAAAACACTACGTTTTGACATTCTGAGGATGAAAGTGCACCTGAAACTTTGATAATAATTACTTCAAGCGTCCCAAACTGTGTTACTTGTTGAAGTATGGTGAACGCAATAAGAGGGCGCTATTTGAAGTGGGTAAATTTGAGTCAATACAAAAGAGTTTACCCACTCAAAATCACTTCTTAAACCCATGGAATGAATATTATTCAGTATGCACTGCCGAAAATTTTGTTCTACAGCACTATATAAAATTCCAATAAATATTGCATGAAACTTTTCAAATATCCAATATACTTTACTTAATTATCTTAGCAAATCTGGTATACACTATTTTCTTATTAGAAATGAGCATTATTATATATACATGTAGATTTTTACTCTTTATTAATTGTCCTTTCCCACATCCATGGTTAAGCATGAATCTCAGTAACTGGTAGAAATGTAAAAAAATATATATAACGGAAGATATTCCTTAGCAAATTGTTTTTTTTCTCCTTTTTTAAATTGTTCCCCTTTCCTTTAACGTTTGAAGTGGTTACAGGTAATCGACACCGTTTGCAAACATTCAAACATAAAACTGTCAAAATATCATGAATTATCCTAGTTAATTTTAAGAAAAAAGGATATAAAGCATCCTGAGATGGTTAGGACCAAACCTTCAAACGGTCAACAAAACCATGCTTTGCGTGAGACTGAAAAAAAATAAAATGCATTGTTACAGTTTTCTCAAAAGTATGACATGTACTGTGCATAATTTCGACATTTTTTTGGTTTGTTTGTCATTAATAACCTGCATCAGATTGATTGCATTATTTTTCTTGAAACGCCCCAAAAAAAACTACTGTTTGCAAATGGTGGCCATTAACTTAAAGCCCAATAAATTTAATAAATATGTAGTCAAAAGAATGTTTTCCAAAAATAGTTAGTTTTTCTATCTCGATGTCACGGGTAAACACGTCTGAACTGGCGGCCAAGTCTTAGAAACTAAAACTCCTTGCCAAAAAAAACCTAAAAACCTACTGGAAACACATAATTCCGTTAAAAAAAGTATACATGCAAATATTTTTGCACTTAGAAGTTAAAACTTCTCGCAAAAAAACCCACTAAAACACTACTACGAGCACATAATGGAGTACCGAAGTGAATACGTCACGCGCACAAAATGTGTGTGAAAGACATTATCGCGTGATTCAGACCGCGTCACACTTCGGTACTCCATTCCTTTGTCCCCCGTCGAGCGTACTTAAAATAAGCGCACAATCATTTTCTAATCTCATGCATATGCAACGCATAGCAAGCCGCCTCAGCCGCCACAGCCTGCGCTAGGGGCGCTATCACCAAAACAGTTACATCACATCAGCATATATATCTTATTATATAGGGCAGAGAGAGGAAAGCACAAGTCATGAATAAACATGAGGCACAGTTTTCCATTCGAATTTTCAATTCGCACATAGCTCGACACATTTTGACATTAATGAATGAAATATCTTCAATCTATAAATACTCATCTGTTTATTCATATTTTGTATTGAGACATTAGCCAATGATAAGCCCCGTTTATGTCTCCCCAGTCACAATTTACGACACCTTCAATCTAGGCATAGATATAGGCTTATTATTTTGGTTTCCCTTGAGAGCTTGCCAATGATAAGGCTCTTTATCTTGCCACTCAAAATTTATCGTACATTCAAGTGATGAATATTCAGAGGATTTTTTTGTATTCTACATTGAGGGCTCTGCCAACGATAAGCTCCTCATCTCGCTTGTTCCCGCCCCTATCTCAGACAGCTTGGCATCTTTTAACAATCTGCATGTAGCGTAGTCATCGTTGTAACCGTTTCCACCTAAAACACAACAAAAAAGAGGGGGGAAAAGGTCTTTTTTCAGTCCATGGAAAATTGACCCTTTTTCAAATCCGACAAGTTTTGCACAACACCAAGCAAATTCTAGGTAGTATTCATCTACATTCTTCCCACGCCCGAACTCTTCCCAGATTGGTGTTAATCAAGCAAGAATGGTTAACTTCGCGCAGCGAGCCGCGATAAAATTCTCCACATTTTCCAAATATGGTCATATTTTTTTTTCAATGGGCCAATTAGACCAAGCTTCTATGTAATCATCACCCCTACTATACACCACAAGCCTGTAAACTCCCATTGGCTACTCCAGAGTAAGGAGTGCTGAAAGACAGAAGCCAAGATGGCGCCTAATGCCTTTGAGCAATAATTGGAAATCTTAGTGGCCAACCTCTAAGTGCCGCCGATATCTTTGTGTCAATCCCTCGTGCCGCCCAGAGCTCAGACAGGTTGTAAACAATCCCGGACGATGTGAATGACCTATATCTTGTGCATATCCAGGCATGCGGGGGTTATTGACCTAGAAACACGTGTGGTGATAAAATTCTCCCGGTGGCCTTTCCGCGTAAAGTTTTTAGGCTTGAAGCTCGAAGGTTAACGACTTGACTCGAGTCACTGCCTTCGATGTACTTAATTTGATTCGAGTCACTGCCTTATAACTAAACTCAACCATTCACTTCTTTAGAATGAGTCAATGTGACTCATGCCACTGCCTTAGAATGACTTAGCGAAAATGTACACTACTGCGCACAATAAAATTGGCGAAAATGTACACTACTGCGCAATTTTTCGCGTGCGTGTTGGAGCGAAATTTCCCTCTCGGAGAAGCTAGCACGCTGGAGAAGTGAGACCGTGACACCTGTCCGCCGGTTTTCACTGAGGACGCATGCGTGTAATACGCTGTGCACAATAATGCATACGGAAAGCCCAATGTGATCAACCGAGCGTATCCATAAACAACGAGCACGTACACTGAAAGGGCGGATCCAGAACACAATTTGGGGGGGGGGCGGCAAAAAAAATTGGTTCGGCCCCCAAAGAGTGGGTCAAAATAAATACGGCGTGGGCCGCGTATAAGGGCCCCTAATTTGGGGGGGAATCCAGATGCTCTGTGG